AGTCCCTTGAACGAATAAAGTCAACTTTGAAAAAGAGGGAAGATAAACTACTCTACTTAAACAAAGAAAGTCAAGCTTAAAAATATCATCAGGAAGTAGGCACTACACAAAAGGACCTAGTAGCTCTAGAAAGAACCAAACAATTTCTAGAAATAAAAAACATAAAAACATTCAATGATAGGTCTAATATTAGACACTAGTGAATAGATAGTTGTGAAAAACATGCAATTATGTAGCATGCAAATAAAGTGAAGGAATAAAAAACACATAGGCGTGGTTAAAAGATGTGGAATCCAGTTGGAGTTCAAGAAGGAAAAAGAAGAATGAGCCAAAAGCAACATTTGAGGAGATAATGGCTGAGAATTTTCCAGAACTGATGAAAGATATGTCACATATTCTAGATTCCCTACAAATGCCAAGGAAGATAAACAAAAAGATCCTATTTAGACAAATTTTAATAAGTAGAACATTACAAAGGATAAATGAAAAAAATCTTATATTCAGAAGAAAAAAAAGGGCAAATTACCTTTGAAAAGTGACTGGTAGACTGACAGCTAAATTTTCATGAGGAAGACCAGGAAAAAAAAAAAAAAAGCAATGGAATACTTTCTTTGATGTATTATAGAAAAAAAATCTGCCAATATGGTATTCTTCACCCAGTAAAATTTAATTCAAAAAAGAGGGTTGAATGGGCATTTTCATAAGGCAAAAATCCAACCTCAAGTTTTAAAATTAAGAACACCAACACATTATGTGGTTGGGATAGGCCGATGGAATTCAGGGATCCTAAGGTCTATATAATCTGGAGGAAAAGTAACATTATAGATTAAATTTAGGCTTAGAAACTTACATGTTATAATTTCTAAGTTAATCAGTAAATGAAAAAAGAAATAGAGAATATAACCACAAATGAGTAGAGGTGAAAATACAATAAAAAATACTTAAGCAAAATGAAAAGAATGACAGAAAGAAAACAGAATGGTTGGAGCACACAGAAAGTACAAAACAAATTGGTAGATGTAATCCAAATATGGGGGTAAGTACGTAAAATGTAAATGGACAAAACACTCCAGTTAAAAGACATACTATGAAATGAGGGGCAAGGAAATCCAACTATACGCTGTTTACAAGTAATATAAATAACATTAGGAGACACATACACATATGTCAGTCATAAAAAGATTTTTAGAAATTATACCATGCAAATTCCAAACAAAAGAAATAAACAGTCTTCAAGACAAAAACATGACTAGATAGGGGTCATCACTTCATAATAATAAAAGTTTTAATATGTCATAAGATAAATATACAATAAGGTAGCTATTTTACTTTCATCTAAAGATTTACTCTTTTTTTTCCTTTTTGTTTTAGATGGAGTCTCACTCTGCCGCCCAGGCTGGAGTGCAGTGGTGCAATCTCAGCTTGCCGCAACCTCCGTCTCCTGGGCTCAAGTGATTTTCCTGCCTCAGCTTCCCAAGTAGCTGGGATTATAGGTGTGTGCCACCACACCTGGCTAATTTTTGTATTTTTAGTAGAGATGGGTTTTCACCACGTTTGGCCAGGCTGGTCTTGAACTCCTGACCTCAGATGATCTGCTCACCTCAGCCTCCCAAAGTGCTGGGATTACAGGCATGAGCCACCACACCCAGCCTGAAGACTTATTCTTTAGAAAAAGATTTACAGGAAGCAAAAATTGAACTGAACCAGAAGAAAAAAACTGGCAAATCCGCAATCATAATGAAAGGTTTTAATATGCTTCTCTCAGCACCTGACAGAATAAGCAGACTGATTAAAAAATAGGGCCTGGTGCAGTGGCTCATGCCTATAATATCAGCACTTTGGGAGGCCGAGGCAGGTGGATCACAAGGTCAAGAGATCGAAACCATCCTGGTCAACAAGGTGAAACCCCGTCTCTACTAAAAATACAAAAATTAGCTGGGCATGGTGGCGCGCGTCTGTAGTCCTAGCTACTCAGGAGGCTGAGGTAGGAGAATTGCTTGAACTCAGGAGGCGGAGGTTGCGGTGAGCCGAGATCGCACCATTGCACTCCAGCCTGGGTAACAAGAGCGAAACTCCATCTCAAAAAAAAAAAAAAAAAAAAAAAAAAAAAGCAAGACTGTAAGATTTGAAGAACATAGTTAAGAAAAGTGACATAATAAATATGCATATATAGAGACACTGCACCCAATGATTGTTAAATATGCTTTTAACCACAAATTAATCTTTTTAAAAATTGGCATATACTAAGCCAATTAAGTACATCTCAACATTTCAAAAGGTATAATCATATAGACTATGTTCTCTAGACACAATGCAATCAAACTAGAAAATAATAACAAAAAGATAGCTAAAAGATCCTATACTACTGAGAATTAACAAACATGTTTCTAACCAACATTTGGATCAATGAAGAAATCAAAATAAAAAATATTTTAGGGCAGACAGGGTGGCTTACATCTGTAATCCCAGCACTCTGGGAGGCCAAGGCACGCAGATCATCTGAGGTCAGGAGTTCAAGACCAGCCTGGCCAACGTGGCAAAACCCCGTTTCTACTAAAAATACAAAATTAGTTGAGCATGGTGGCACATGCCTGTAATCTCAGCTACTCAGGAGGCTGAGGCAGAATTGCTTGAAACTGGGACACAGAGGTTGCAGTGAGCCGAGATCATGCTACTGCACTCTAGCCTGGGTGACAGAGCAAGACTCTGTCTCAAAAATACAACAATAAAAAATAATAAATAATATTTTAAACTAAATAATGACAAATACTATATATTATAATGTGTGGGATTCACCTAAAACAGTACTTAGAGAGAAATGAATAGCATTAAGTATAGTAATATAGGAAATAATATATGATAATGTCTTTTTGGAAGAGAAGAATTTCATATGACTAAAGAGAAAAGTGATGAATTAGAATTTGCTAAAATTAAAAGCTTCGGTTTATCAAAAAAGCAATCATAAACACATTATACAGAGAGAGAAGTATAGACCGCACAGTGGAAGAAGGTATTTACAAGCCACATAATCAAGGACGAGTGTCCAGAATGTATTACCAAGAATTCCTAGGAATCAATATAAGAAGATAATACTGTAGAGAACTAGGCAAGACATGTTAGGCACTACACAAAAGAAGAAATTCAAACGGCTAAAAGACACGTAAAATTATGCTAAACTTCAATCAGGGATATTTGAATTAAAATTTCAGTGTACACACACACATACAATCAGAAATTAAAAATACCAAGTGTTGGTGAGGATGTGAAGCAACAGGACTCTCATACACAGCTGGTGGGAAAGTAAAAGACACAATTGCTTTGAGAAAGTTTCGCATACGCAATTGTTAAAGGTACACACATTCTATAACCCAGCAATTCTACTCCTAAATATGTAAGTAGACAAGACTTTTAACATGTCTATCAGGAGAAAAGTGCATGATTCTTCACAGTGGCATTATTTCTTACACCCCAAACTGCAAAAATCCAAATATTCCACAGCACTGGATTGGATTTCTAAATGTGGTATTTTCATGTAACTGAATGCTAAATAGTAATGAAGAGAAATATACTTCATTTACACACTATTAGCATGAATGGATCTCACAAATGATTGAGCAAAAGAAGCCATACAGAATATGTACAGTATAATGTCAGTACAGTATAATGTCATTTGTTTACATTTAAAATCAGATAAAACTGTTTATTTAGGAATACATATGGAGAAAGCAAAATTACAGAGAGAAGTAACTGAAGGATTTTTACAAAAGTCCTAAGTCATTACCTTTATCGGAGCTGAAAGAAATTAATAAGTTAATAATTTGGTATGGAAGGATTCTAAGCAAACGGCAATTTTCTAGATCTCAGTTTGAGCTGTGGTTACACAGATGTTCACTTTATAGTCATTCTTTAAACTGTACACATCTGATTATCTCTTCTGAAATATGATATTTTCTTACAATGCACAAGTGAACACAAAAGCAGAGATTCAGACACAAAATTAAGGGGAGGGCTGGCTGGGCACGGTGTCTCATGCCTGTAATCCCAGCACTTTGGGAGGTTGAGGAGGACAGATCACCTGAGGTCCGGAGTTCAAGACCAGCCTGGCCAACATTGAGAAACCCCATTTCTACTAAAAATACAAAAAAAAGTAGCTTGGTGTTGTGGCGATCGCCTGTAATCCCAGCTACGCGGGAGGCTGAGGCAAGAGAATAGCTTGAACCTGGGAGTTGGAGGTTGCAGTGAGCTGAGATCATGTCACTGCACTCCAGCCTGGGTGACAGAGTGGGACTCCATCGCAAAAAGGGAGAAGGTAGGATGGGCTTCAGGTAAAGCATACCAGGGTTTTGAAAGTAACGGTAATGTTCTGATTCTAAAACTGGATGATGGTTCACAGATATTTGTTGCACTGACATTTTCCATATCCTACACATATTTATAACTAGTCAAATCCTTTTGATATATGATTTTAAAAGTAAAGAAAAAACATGCAGTCAAGAAACATCATAAAGAGAAGTATATTAACTCATTACATTATATTATATACAACATTGTGAACCAGCCTGGAAATCTTTATACCACTGTTAACATGAGTAAATGAACTCAGAAACTTTAATAACTTGACTACACAATGTTATAGAACATTTCTTATAAACTGCAAATGACCTACATACTTGAGAATGAAATATGCTCTGGATGAGATCCTTAGGAAGGTACTCCCACTGTGCCCTCCTCTGAGGCTGGAGAGAAGGTGTGGCTGGCTGGTGGGATTCAGGTCCCAGGCTATACCTTCGTCCTGGTTCCCTATATGGAGCTCTGAGTTTTTCCTCCTACCCTTTACAAACAGTTTAAAACTAGTAAGTAGCTCACACTTCTCCCCCGATGCCTGGCAATAGTCACTGTGCAAAGCGACTTGATCTGCAATCTGAGTAACAACCCAGCCTGCCAAAATCAGATTAATTTCATTTTATTCTAAAAAAAAAAAAAAAATACTATTCTCTCACCTGTGTCTTCCAAGTTTTGCAGCTTATGCTTGAAGCCAGTACTTTCCGTTAGCGATTCTTGGTTCACAATCTTAAAAACATAACAGACCACAAATATGTGTCTTTTATGGCTAAAGCAAGAAACAAGTGATGTTCTATTACCCCATCAAAAGGGAATAGCCAAAGTGTTATGCAAATATTAATTGCGGAATATCAGATGAATAACCAACACAATTAAACAGTACCATAGATAAGTTTTCTTCATCTTCTGAGTGCTCCAAGGAAGAGAGCTTGCTCAGTGGGTGAGGACCTTGAAGCTCTGGGCATTAGAGAGAAGTTTCAAGTGAATACACACCAAGTAACAAAGCAGCAAGAATTCACTATCATTCTAGGTATTAAAGCTCACCATCAAAAAAGGCGACACAGTTTTTTTTTTTTTTTTTTGGTCAGACAGAGTCTTGCTCTGCTGCCTAGGCTGGAGTGCAATGGCACAATCTCCGCTCACTGCAACTCCCATCTCCTGGGTTCAAGCGATTCTCCTGCCTCAGCCTCCTGAGTAGCTGGGACTACAGGCACGTGCCACCACACCTGGCTAATTTTTGTATTTTTAGTAGAGATACGGTTTCACCGTGTTAGGATGGTCTCAAACTCCTGACCTCATGATCTACCCACCTTGGCCTCCCAAAGTGCTGGGATTACAGGTGTGAGCCACCATGCCCGGCCAGGGGACACAGTTGTAAGTAGAACAAAAATCAATTGACTGTATCTTTCGGGACGTGAATGCTTATTAGGTTTGTACATCTGTAGGTAAGATTAACAGCCAGTTACTTCAACCAGATTGACACCTTAAAGAGCTGCTCATCTGGTCCTCAAATAACGCGGGCAGGGATTCTTCCACCTCAACCTTGTGATTCTTCTCTTCTCTCCCTTGAACTCCCTCTCTTATTGCCTCTTACTTTTTTTTTTTTTTTGGATGATTTGATATACATATACATGGTATAATGATTATCACATTCAAATCAATGAACACATCCATCACTACTTGTGCTATATGTTAGATAGATCCTCAGAACTTGTTCGTGTTATGCCTGAAAGTTTATAACCTTTGAGGACCATCCCCTTTCCCCCTCACCTCCTAGCACCTGGCAAACACTGTTCTACTCTCTGTTTCTATGAGTTTGGCTCTTTTACATTCTATATATATGTGAGATTACATAGTATTTGTCCGTTAGTGACTAGCTTATTTCACTTAACATAATGTCCTCCAGGTTTATCCATGTTGTTGCTTATGGCCTGATTTCCTCCTTTTTTTTAAGGCTGAATAGTATTCTATTGTTTATATATACCACATTTTCTTTCTTTATTTATCCACTGACTAATACTTAGGCTGACTCCATAGCCTGGCTATTGTGAATAATAGGAGTGCAGATATCTCTTCAAGATTCTGATTTTATCTCCTTTAGAGATATACATGGAAGTGGGACTGATGGATTCACACAAGTCTAATTTTTCTGAGGAAACTACTGTTTTCCACAACGGTTGCATCAATTTCCATTCCCACCAGCAGTGTACAAGTGTTCCCTTCTCTCCATACCCTTGCCAACACTTGTTAGCTCTTGTCTTTTTGATAATAGCTACCTGGACAGGTGTGAGATATCACATTATGGCTGTGATTTGCATTTCTCTAATGATTAGTGATGCCGAGTACTTATACCCATTAGCCATTTGTGTATCTTTTTTGGGAAAATGTCTATTCAGCTCCTTTAGCCATTTTAAATTAGGTTGTGTTCCCTTGTTATTGAGTCGTAGAAGTTATTTTGACTATTAACCCGTAACCTATTATTAGATATATGATTTGTGAATATTTTCTTCCATCTTTAGGTTGTCTTTCCATTTTATTGCTTTCTTTGCTGTGCACAAGATTTTTAGTTTAACATAGCCCTATAAGTTTATTGTGCTTTTAGAGTTGTACACACAAAAAAAATCATTGCTAAGGCCAATGTCAAAGAGCTGTTTCCCTATTTTTGTCTAGTAGTTGTACAGTTTTAGATCTTAAAGTCTTAATCCATTTTGAATTAATTTTTGCATATGGTGTAAGGCAAAGGTCCAATTTCACCATTTAGTATGTGGATATCCAGTTTTCCCAACACCATTCATTGAAGAGCCTTTCCTTTCCACATTGTATATTCTTGGTGCCCTTGTGAAAGATTAAGTGGCCATATATATGTGTAGGTTTATGTCTGGGCTCTATGATGTTATCTTGGCGTATGTGCCTGTCTCTGTGGCAGGCAGTACTATACTATTTTGATTGCTATAGTTTTTAAATATACTTTGAAATAAGAAAGTGTGATACCTCCAGATTTATTCCTCGTTATCAAGATGTTTTTTGGCTTTTTAGAGTCTTTTGTGGTTCCAAATAAATTTTAGGATTGTTTTTTCTATTTCTGTGAAAAATGCCATTAGAAATTTGATAGCGATTGAATGTGTATATTGCTTTGGATAATGAGGACATTTTAACAATATTAATTCTTCTAATCTATATACATAGGATATTTTTCCATTTGTGTCCTCTTTAATTCCCTCAGTGTCTTATAGTTTTCAGATTATGGGTCTTTCACCTCCTTGGTTATTTTTATGTGTTTTTTTATAAGCTATTACAAATGAGATTTTCTTCCTTTTTTCTTAGTTTATTGTTAGTGTCTAGACATGCAACTGATTTGTTTTTGTTTTGTTCCTTGTATTCTTTTTTTTTTTTTTTTTCTGAGATGGAGTCTCCCTCTGTCACCCAGGCTGGAGTGCAGTGGTGCGATCTCAGCTCACTGCAACCTCCGCCTCCTGGGTTCAAGTGATTCTCCTCCCTCGGCCTTCTCAGTAGCTAGGATTACAGGCACCTGCAACCATGCTTGGCTAATTTTTGTATTTTTAGTAGAGATGGGGTTTCACCATCTTGGCCAGGCTGGTCTTGAACTCCTGACCTCGTGATCCACCCACCTCGGCCTCCCAAAGTGCTGGGCTTACAGGTGTGAGCTACCGCGCCTGGCCTCCTTTTATTCTTTAATGCTACATTTTCCTCTCTACTTCGTTCTTTTCCCTACTTATTTTCTTGCAGCAGCAGCTACACTAACAGATTGTTATTGAAGTGCTTACTAAATATTGTTGTATACCTGGCAATGTGCTGAACTGCAGAATTATAATAAATAATATTGTTATTAATAACAATTAAAAAAACCATTCTTAACAAACTTAAAAAATGCAGATAGTTAAAATAAAATACAGTGAGGGTTAAGAAAAAGCCTATAGGAAAAGGGTTGGCAAATTCTGGCCCCTAAACCAAATCCAGTCTGCTACCTGATTCTATAAATGAAGTTTTATGGAAAGACAGCCACACTCATTGGCTTACACCTTATCCATGGCCAACGTTGTGCAACAACTGCAGAGTTGAACAGTTGCAACAGAAACCATATGGATGAAGGCTGGGCCTGGTGGCTCACAGCACTTTGGGAGGCCAAGGTGGGTGGATCACTTGAGATCAGGAGTTTGAGACCAACCCCTGCTACAGGTCATCATTTGAGATGTCTCGCTTATTTAAGAAGAGAAGAGATCAGCAGTTCTTGGGCACAAGCTGATCTCAAATGGCAAAGCAAAATTAAAACATCATACCCTCTATAATGAGAGACATTAAAGTAAAGAACAATCTTATTTTCATTTTCTTTAATAGATATTAAGATTAAAAAATGTTTTATTTATATCAAACTACCTTTCCCAAAATATAAATCTTTTTCTATGTAAGTCAACAGAAAATCATGTACCTGTTTTCTCGGCAGAATCTTCAGGAGTCAAAAAGGCAAAACTATCTTGAAATTTTTTTTCAGAAGTCTTTGGAGGTGTAGCGTTCTTTTGCTTGGGTATGTCTTTCTGTAATGGTGATAGAAGCTTAGCCTAAAATATAGTATCTTTTTAAAATGTTAGCATTCATAACAGTCCAAGCAAGTTATCCAAATATTCTAAGACATTTTCAATATTACTTTAAGAAGCTTAAGCATTAGATTTACTTCATTTGAAAATAAATATTGGCCAGGAATGGTGACTCACACCTGTAATCCTAGCACTTTGGGAGGCTGAGGTGGGCGGATCAATTGAGGTCAGGAGTTTGAGACTAGCCTGGCCAACATGTGAAACCCTGTCTCTACTAAAAATACAAAGTTCAGCTGGGCGTCATAGTGCACGTTGTAATCCCAGCTACTCTGGAAGCTGACATAGGATAATCACTTGAACCCCAAAGGCAGAGGCTGCAGTGAGCTGAGATCACACCACTGCACTCCAGCCTGGGCAACAGAGCGAGACTCTCTCTCTCAAAAAAAAAAAAAAAAAAGAAAGAAAGAAAGAAATGTTAATTCTATTCAGAATTTCTGTAAGTTTTTAGTTGAAGGGTGGATATTAGCTTAATGCCATGTTACTGAATCTGAACTAGATCATGTATTCTTTCAGGAGCTACAGAAATGAAAATCTCATGAATTCTTGGAAATCATAAATTCTGTTAGGTAAACAGAAAGAGGCTGGCACCTGATCCTAGACTCTGGTTTTTATAGTTGGAAAGGATCTTATAGATTCTTACATTTACAATTTCCAGTTATCTTCTCCTTCTTTTTAAAGAAAGAGTCACTCTGTCGCCCAGGCTGCAGTGCAGTAGTAGCAGTCTCAGCTCACTGCAACCTCCACCTACTGAGTTCAAGCAATTCTCTTACCTCAGTCTTTCGAGTACCTGGAATTATAGGAATGTGTCACCAGGTCCAGCTAATTTTTTTGTATTTTTAGTAGAGACGGTGTTTCGCCATGTTGGCCAGGCTGGCCTCAAATTCCCGACCTTAGGTGATCTCCCCGCCTTGGCCTCCCAAAGTGCTGGGATTACAGGCGTGAACACCTTGGCCAATTTCCAGTTATCTTCTAATTGCTCTGCGTTGAAGTACTGCTCCCTTCAAATGCACAATAGATTTAAACCTTGGCTCTTTGAATTATTTTTAATGCACATATTGAGACAGAAATAGTTTCCTTAGGAACTACAACATTACTATATTTATTAATTTAAAAGTACCTAAAAGACATTTTCAAATAATAGTACTTTTACAATACGTTAATAAAAAACAAAGGGAGAGAACAAAGCTTGCTTATTTCAGAGATTTAGTTAAGGGAGAGAGAGCGTGCACGAGAAAGAGGGAATGTGCCTGTCTAACAGCCCCAGGCTCAGAGCAGAGTTACTACTCATTTAAACCTTCATGCTCTACTTACCTCTGTTGTATTACAGCCTGAGACCTGATCTGCCTTATGACCCTAGTGAAAATCCTAAATGATCAATGATTCAATTATATTTCCTTCACTCAGTTTACTAAGCTAAGAAAATATCTAACAATTAGAATTCATGTCAGGGGATACTAGATTTAAATTTTAATTAGCAGAAAAATTAAATTAAATCCTTCATTCTTGAGGTGCTCTGGTAAATTGAGATTTTATTGCAGTAAATAAAATTGGCTGCATTTTTACTGAATAGGAAATTTCTCCTTGTGCTTTCATTCAAAGCTTGGTATAAATGCTATTTAGCTTCTTTTTAAAATTTTTCCAAGATACATCTAATAAACAATAGCCACACAAAAAAGTAAATGGTAATATCATAAGATCCCTGAATTTGAAGAGCATGAAGTCGTATTTCAGTAGATTACTCTAAGTGTGGTCTCAAAGTGTGATCTAGACTAGTGCATGAGCAGTATCTGCGAACTTACAGAAATGCAAATTCTCAAGTCCCATCTATTCAATTCAAAACTCTAGGGCCAGGACCCAGCAATCTGTGTTTTAGCAATGGCCACTAGTGTTTGAGAACTGCTGCTCTACATCAGGGGTTGGCAAACTATCGTCCATTGTTGTTCTTGTAAATAAAGTTTTATTAGAGCATGCCACATCAATGTGTTTCCATTCTGTCTCTGGCTGCTTTCTGGCTACAAAGATAGAGGCAAGTAGTGACCACAGAAGAGTTTGCATGGCCCACAAAGTCTAAAGTACTTACTATCTGGCCCTTTACAGAAAAAGTTTGCTGACCTCTGCTATAAATTTTTCTCTTATACAGAGATAAGCATATTTTGAATACCAGTATTTTAGAAAAGTCAGCAACGTGCTCACTGAAAATCAGCATAGATTTCTTGCCAAATACACAGCTTAAATTTATAGATTTTTGAAGCTGTGGCCCAGCACGGTGGCTCAGGCCTATAATCCCAGAACTTTGGGAGGCCAAGGCAGGTGGATCACTTGAGGTCAGGAGCTCAAGACCAGCCAGGCCAACATGGCAAAAACCCTGTCTCTACTAAAAATACAAATATTAGTGAGGCATGGTGGCGGGCACCTGTAATCCCAGCTACTCAGGAGGCTGAGGCAGGAGAATCACTTGAACCTGGAAGGTGGTGGTTGCAGTGAGCCAAGACCGCAACACTGCACTTCAGCCTGGGTGACAGAGCAAGAATCTGTCTAAAAAAGAAATTTGAAGCTGTGGTATTTCTTTGGTGTTTATTTCAAATAAAAGCTCTAGTTACTAGAAACTGCTCTTTTGGTCCATTTCTAATAACTCATTATTTCAAGTTGAACTATTCAGTGAATTGTTAAGTACTGAGTCTGGCTCATAGGTTTAATATACCCCTGTTTTTACAGAGCATGAGAGCCCTTCAGATTGCCAGAGGGCAGCACATCCCAGACTGATGGAAGAAAGAAGATAAAGGTGTGGTTAAAACCCAAACCATACTATTTCTGCATGAGGAGGCAGGGTGCCGTTGATACTCTCAGAATCACGGCAGCTGCTTCTTATAAAACCCTTCTGAACTTGTTGATATACTCTGTAGTCTATATATAGCTCATATGGCACAAAACAAAAACCAAACTGCTGAGAGACATAATTCAGCGAATAAAAGGCAAAAACTGGCTTTGAATTGATGCAGATACTGTTGTCTCTATTCTTAACTACTTTGATATAAAACAAGGATAAGTGAAGGAAATGAAGAAATTTTGAGGGTTTATTCAATATTTATACAAGCCTGAAGGTATCCCAAGCAATTGCAAAATAAATGGTGGCTTAGGCCTGTAATCCTAGCACGTTGGGAGGCCAAGGTGGGTGGACAGCCTGAGTTCAGGAGCTCAAGACCAGCCTGGGCTACATGGTGAAACCCTGTCTCTACTAAACATACAAAACATGAGCCAGGCATGGCAGCGTGTGCCTGTAATCCCAGCTACTTGGGAGGCTGAGACAAAAGAATTGCTTGAACCTGGGAGGTGGAGGATGCAGTGAGCTGAGATCTCACCATCGCACTCCAGCCTGGGTAACAAAGCAGGACTCCATCTCAAAAAAAAAAAATAAAATAAATGTCTAAATAATTAAATCATTAAAAGCTTTAGAAAAGCTAAGGGAAGAACTAAACTAACAAGTTTACATCAAAACATAAATTTGAAAGCGTATACATTTGCAGGAAATTGGAATACCCTGGATTTTTAGCATTATTCATAATAAACATCCTTCTGTTGCATTTGGGAACATTAAAAAAAAAAAGACCCTACATCTTTTTTTTCTTTCTTTTGAGGCAGGGTCTCATTCTGTCACCCAGGCTGGAATGCAGCGGTTGGCTCACTGCAACTCCCACCTCCAGGCTTAAGCCATCCTCCCACCTCAGCCTCCTGAGTAGCTGGGACTATAAGCACGCACCACCATGCCTGGTTAATTTTTGTATTTTTTTGTAGAGATGGGGTTTCACCATCTTGCCCAGGCTGGTCTGGAACTTCCCAAGCTCAAGTGATCCATTCCCCTTGGCCTCCCAAAGTGCTGGGATTACAAGTGTGAGCCACCATGCCCAGGCTAAAAGACCCTAAATACTTACCCAAGATTCATATTAAATGTTTAGAAGTCATTGCAATTTCTACTGGCAGTGATTCAGATACCAGTAAACCATGTTTTGCTATTTTCATATTTCTGAAAGTTGTGTTTGGAGAAATAAATGCAGTTTAACTCATAGGGCACACAGCAACCCAGATAAAACGTACTTACTTGGTCTTTCTCATGGCCACTGCTACTGCTGGGAGGGAAAATTGGCAAGGCTAAAATGAAAGAAAACAAGTACACCACAGATGCGTTAACTCACGCGGCCTACAGAAATCACTTCTCCCTCTCCCAATATGCTAAGGCTAAAAGCAATTCCCACTTCCTACAGCTTCCTCAAACATCAACTCTTTTTTTTTTTTTTTTTTTTTTTTTCTGAGACGGAGTCACACTCTGTTGCCCAGGCTGGAGTACAGTGTCACAACAGCGACTCACTGCAATCTCTACCTCCCAGGTTCAAGTGTGTCTCCTGCCTCAGTCTCCCAAGGAGCTGGGAGTACAGGCTACCATGCTCGGCTAATTTTTGCATTGTTAGTAGAATGGGGTTTCGTCATATTAGCCAGGCTGGTCTCAAACTCCTGACCTCGTGATCCACCCTCCTCAGCCTCCCAAAGTGTTGAGATTACAGGTGTGAGCCACTGCGCCCGGCCATGTCTATTCTTCAGATCCTTTCCTGATTATTCAACTTTGTTCCTCGCCACTCAGTTCCTCACCACTCAGCATGAATTCTCTCCTCCAAACCTTGTCCATGAACATCACCCTCACATCCTTGCCTTGCCCTTGTAGTTTGTTCTGTTTGAAACAGGGTCTCACTCTGTCACCTGGGCTACAGTGCAGTGGTGTGGTCACTGCTTACTGCAGCCTTGACCTCCTGGTCTCAAGCAATCCTCCTGCCTCAGTCTCCAGAGTAGCTGAGACCACAGGTGCCACCATGCTCAGCTCATGTTTTAATTTTGTAGAGATGGGGTCTCATCACATTGCCCAGGTTGGTCTCAAACTCCTGGGCTCAAACAATCCTGTCTAGGTGGCTCACACTTGTAATCCCCTCCCAAAGTGCTGGGATTGCAGTCATGAGCCACGATGCAGGTCCTTGTAGCTTTACCTACCTAAGAATGCTTCCCTTTCTCCTCTGTACATCCTATTCTTTTTTCCCAGGATTAATTCAAGTCCCACCCACCTCTTCCTTGAAGATTTCCCGATGATTCCAGCTCATGACAGAGTCCTCTTATCTGAATTTCTGCTCCATTTATACAAAACTCATCTTTAACAACTGTTGGTTAATTTCATATTCTTCCGTTTCATGTACACAATACATTTTGCCTTTCCAATGTAACTGTAGCAGGGAAAGTTGGCCCTATGATCATGTGTTTCTTTGGAGCCACTCCCATTGTATATGGAAAAATAAATACCTGCTGATTTGAAAATCGCTATTTGAAGAGTGATTCAAAAGAAGACATGCCAGGCTTACTTCTTAGACTACTTCTGGTTCTTGTCTTCTTTCTATTAACATATGACTTTAGGGATTTCCTTTTTCGGTTACTGATCCAAGATTGTTCACTGGTACTTGAATCTTGATTACTCTCAGAGAAGAGATGTTTTCTATAACTCTGCTTCTACAAGCACAGATCACAAATGAGAACTTTTAGGGGGGTATTAGTGCTACCTACAGCTAATTAAACATATTCTACAAAGCTAGAGGTAAGAGAAGCACCCTTCTAGAAGACTTGGCTCTTTTATGTAATATAAACGCAAAGAAGTATGGAAAGGAAGAAAAGGATTATTCCATCAGTCAATTCTCAACCAGGTTGCTCTTGTATAGGCTGACAAAATCCTTTCTAATAAAATATTTGCAACAGAAGAGATGCTGGACAATGACAAAAGAAAGCATGCCAACATTTTTTGCAAAGACATGCCTCCCTACATTTTAGAAGAACCAAAACCAAACAGGAGGATCATTTCTTTCTTTCTTTTTTTTTTTTGAGATGGAGTCTCACTCTGTTGCCAGGCTGGAGCGCAGTAGCGCAGTCTTGGCCCACCACAACCTCCGCCTGCTGGGTTCAAGCAATTCTCCTGCCTCAGCCTTCAGAGTAGCTGGGATTACTGGCATGTGCCACCACACTCAGCTAAATTTTTTTTTTTTTTTTTTTTTTGGCATTTTTGGTAGAGAAAGAGTTTCACTTTGCTGGCCAGGCTGGTCTCAAACTCCTGACCTCAGGTGATTCACCCTCCTTGGCCTCCCAAAGTGGTGTGATTACGGGTGTGAGCCACAGAACCCAGCCCAGGAGGGCAATTCCTGTTTAAAACATAAAGCATTTTGAAATTAAGCCTGGACTATAAAAGGTTGGAGATTTAGGGCAAGTTTAATCTTTCTGCTGGATTATTCAACTGTACTCTGATATTTCTATTTTTAAAATCTTTTTGTTTTTACATTAATTTTTATAAATGCTGTGATGAATACATGTTTATGCTTGATTTTAATATGAAATTTGTTTTTAATGTTTGTTGGGAATCTTCAGAGCCCAGTCCCCAAACCCTCTTGCCTCTCTAGGGGCTGCACCATTCAGCTGCTAACAGTTAATTCTATTTCAGGCCAGGGAGGATTCTTATGGATTCAAACATATTAAGTGGTTACACTATCTCACATCATCTTCTCAAATAGAAAACACATCAGCCAGAAGATAGGCCCTGCCTGGAATGACAAAATGCAAAATCAGCTCCCAAAGCGGTCACCAGGAACTGGGTGGGGTGGCTCACACCTGTAATCCCAGCACTTTGGGAGGCCAAAACAGGCAGATCACTTGAGGTCAAGAGTTCGAGACCACCCTGGCCAACATGGTGAAACCTCGTCTCTACTAAAAATACAAAAATTAGCCAGGCATGGTGGTGGGCACCTGTAATCCTTGCTACTAGGGAGGTTGAGGTACGAGAATCGCTTGAACCCAGGAGGCAGAGTTTTCAGGGAGCCAAGATCGTGCCACTGCACTCCAACCTGGGCAACAGAGTGAGACCCTGTCTCAAAAAAAAAAAAAAAAAAAGAAAAAAGAAAGCTGTCACTGGGCTAGGGCAAGACTACCAACACCCTTGCTGGCGACAGCATGACCCTTAACAGTTAAGGTGGGTGATGGTTAGTTATCTAGTCTTCAAATGAATTTATTTTTTGAAGACCCAATTATTCCTTCTTTAAAATATTTAACAGTTCAACACTTTGTAAAAATGGTAATCTCTTTAATTGATAAATAAAAATTACACTTATTTATAATGTATGATGTTTTGAAATGTGTATACATTGTAGAGCGTCTAAATCAAGTCATTAGTATTTGCATTACCTCAAATACTTATCATTCTTTTGTGTGGTATGAACACCTAAAATCTACTCTTGGCAATTTTTTCTTTTTTCTCTTTTTTTTTTTTTTTTTTTTTTTTTTTGAGACAGGGTCTAGCTCTGTTACCCAGACTGGTGTGCAGTGGCACAATCATAGTTCACTACAACTCCTGGGCTCAAGCGATTCTGCGGTCTCAGCTTCCCCAGTAGCTGGGACTACAGGTATTCACCACCATGACCGGCTAAATTTTTATTTTTCTTTTGTAGAAATCAGGTCTCGCTATGTTACCCAAGTTGGTCTCAAACTCCTGGTCTCAAGGAATCTTCTTGCCTCAGCCTCCCAAAGCACTGCGATTACAGGTTTGAGCAACCATGCCTGGCCAGCAATTTTTAAGTATATGATATGTAATTAACCATAATCACGATGAAACACAGTAGATGTTTTAAACTTATTTCAAGAGGGGCACAGTGGCTCAGGCCTATAATCCCAACACTTTGGGAGGCCGAGTAGAAGGATCACTTGAGCTCAGGAATTCAAGACAAGCCTGGGCAACATAGTGAGACCTCATCTCTACTAAAAATTAAAAAAAAAAAATAGCTGGCTGTGATGGCATGCACCTGCAGTCTCAGCTACTCAGGAAGCTGAGGTGGGAGGATAGTTTGAGTCTGGGAAATTGATTCTGCATGATCTATGATCTCACCACTACACTCCAACCTAAGTGACAGAGCAAGACTTGATCTCAAAAAAACCAAAACCAAAACAAACTTATTCCTCCTAATTGAAATGTTTATGCTCTGACCATCTCCCCCAACACCCCTGCCCGTCCCCTGGTAACCACCTTCTACTCTCCACTTCTATGAGTCTGACTTTTTCAGATTCCACATATAAGTGAGATCACATGGTGTTTATCTTTCTATGCCTGGCTCATTTCACCTAACACCATGTCCTTCAGGTTTATCTATGTTGTTACAAATGACAAGATTCCCTTCCTTTTTAAAGTTAAATAGTATTCCATTGCATATACATACATACACACACACACGCGCGCACGCACACACACACACACACACACACACACCATTTGTTCTTTATCCATTCATATATTGATTACTAGAGAAGATATTTTCTAAAAGAAACTTTGTGAGCCAGGCCTATTTGCATCTTACTCTTTCTTTAAGCAAAAAAAATAAATAAATAAAATGAAGGCTGGGGAAACCCACATCTGTTTGAGAGGTCCTTAGTCCAGTGTCTTATAAAGAGTAACACTTCATTCAATCCATTTAATTAAAAATCCACATAGCAGCGATTCCTCAGGGATCTAGAACCAGAAATACCATTTGACCCAGCAATACCATTACCAAGTTTGTGTCTTCGACATATCTCTCTGGCTGTAAGTGCCTGTTCCATAAGCAGTGCCCATTCTCACTCAATGCTGCCCCTTTGGGTCACAATAAGAGAGAGTACCCATCATCTCTCATTTGGGTGAATGGACTCTTTACAAAGTTAAATGAGCATTTGCTACAGCGGCAAATGACAGACTTAAGCAGTCTTTCAATTTTCCATTACTCATATGCCATCAAATAAGATTTCACATGAAATACTACCTTCTGCTGAGGTGTCGATTGGGGTTATTTGTCCATCCCTATGGCAGATTTACCTTTTCATAGTTCACAGCTAATAAAGCCCATTGCAGTGAATAAAATATTAATAAGTAAATCAAGTAAAAGTGTAGTTCAAGAGGCTAAACTTCTGATTGTCAATTGTACTTCTTTGGGGGCTACCTACTATTTGTTACAAGTAATGATTTTCCATGCGAAAGTGAAATCATTTCAAAATAGTTTAAGATCAATTTAATTGAGAAAAATATAGATAAGAGCAGAGCTATGACATATCTTGAACATGGTATACAAATAACTGAAATGGGAGAAGTATTGCCTTAAAAGAATAAAAGTTATCTTACCGATACACTTGTTTCTGGTTTTTTGTCACCCTCAAAAGTAGACTCTGCCCTAAAAAAAAAAATACATTAAATTAATGGGACTGGTACAACATCACCCTCCTCCTTCCCTAACTATTTTGCTTTCACATACCCTTTGTCTGATCATGAACCCAGCATGTGGGAAACACCCTATCCTGCAAACTTCTTATCTTGCAATCTATTTCCAAAGATTCTCTGGCAGACAACTGCTTATTTAAAATAAAATAAACCTTTGTTAAACCCTTCGTCTGTCAGCCATATAAAGAAAATGAAGGCAGAGTGGGATCAGGGAACAACCAGCCAGCAGGCGCAACACTGACAGGTTTCTCAAGCACGGCTGTAGCTTAGAACCACAAGGGATGCTTTCAACAAAAGCTTTATCTGATGATTAGTAGTGCTGGGCATCTTTCCATACATCCTTCCAGGCAGCCATGGATCTCTATAGTTTCCTAGAATTTTCTATAACTTCATATTCTAGTCATATTCTAGAATTTTATGTAAATGGAATAATATATACTTTTTGTCTGGTTTCTTTTACTGAGCATGATTTTGAGATTCATTCATGTCGCACATATCAATAGTTTGTTCCTTTTTATTTTTGTGTATTTCATTGTATGGATACACCAAAATTTGTTTATCCATTCTATTCATGAACACTCGGGTCGTTTCCAGTTTGGAGCAAGCTGCTATAAACATTCACATACATTCCATTGTATGGACAATTTCTCTTAGGTAAATGACTGGAATTAGAATAGTGGGGTTATAGGGCAGATACACTTTAACATTTGAAGATGGTACTAGCAGTGTAAAAGAGTTCCAGTTACTCTACATGTTCGCCAACACTTGGAACAGTCAGTCTAATTTGAGCTATTCTGGTACATGGGCAGGATAGCTCATTAAACTTTGTAAATTTACATTTCCATAATAACATATAATGTTGAACAACATTTCATGTGCTTATCTGCCATCTGTATATCTTCCTTGGTGAAATTTACATCTTTTGCCTACATTTTTATCGGGTTTTATTTGTATTATTGAATTCTGAGAGTCCTGAATATATTTCAGATGTATCTCAAATTATAAAGCCTTCATTAGATACATGCTTTACAAATATTTTCTGCAATATGTGGCTTGTTCTTTTATTCTCCTAACAGTGGTTTTTAAAGAGCATAAGTTTTGTTTTTTATTTTGATGAAGTCCCATGTATCAATTTGTTCTTCTACTGTGCATTTGGTGTCCTATCTCAGAAATCTTTGTGACGCAAGGTCACAAAGGTATTTTCATATGCTTTCTTTCAAACAGTTTCATATTTAGGTCTATGTTCCATTTTTAATGTTTTATAAAGTGTGAGGTAAGAACCAAACAGATGTCATTTATTTTCTTACACATGGATATTCAATTGTTTTAGCACCCATTGCTGAAAACCTATTTTTTCTCCATGGAACTGTCTTTAATTTTGTCATAGACTAGTTGTTCATATATAAGCAGGTCTATTTCTGGACTTCCTTCTGTTTTTTTATTCATCTGTCTTTATGCCGATACCACATATTTTTTTTTAGAACGGGCTCTCACTATATTGCTCAGGCAGGTCTTGAACTCCTGGGCTCAAGCTATCCTCCCACCTCTGCCTCCCTAAGAGCTGGGATTACAGGTGTGAGCCACAGCACCCAGCCACACTTTCTTGATTAACATAGTTTTATAGTAGACCTTGAAAGCAGGTAGTATGCATGCCCTTCCACTTTGTGCTTTTTTCTTTTTTTTAATTTGTTTCAGCTTTTGCACATCCTTGAAATTTCCAAACAAAATTCAGAAATCGCTTGCCAATCTCTTTTTTTTTTTTTTTTTTTTGAGATGGAGTTTCACTCTTGTTTCCCAGGCTGGAATGCAATAGCATGATGTCAGATTACTGCAACCTCCACCTCCCAGGTTCAAGTGATTCTTCTGCCTCAGCCTCCCGAGTAGCTGGGATTACAGGCATGCACCACCACACCTTGCTAATTTTGCATTTTTAGTAGAGATGAGGTTTCTCCATGTTGGTCAGGCTGGTCTCGAACTCCCGACCTCAGGTGAGCCGCCTGTCTCAAGCTCCTGAAATGCTGGGATTATAGGTAGGCATGAGCCACTGAGCGCATTTCAATCTCTCTCTCTCTCTTTACATACATACATATATATATATATATATATATATATATATATATATATATATATATTTACACACACACACACACACAAAATCAGGGATTATACTGAATTCACAGATCATTTTAAGAAGAATTGGCACCAGGCACTGTGGCTTACACCTGTAATCCCAGCACTTTGAGAGGCCAAGGCAGGCAGATCACCTGAGGTCGGGAGCTCAAGACCAGCCTGACCAACATGGAAAAATCCCGTCTCTACTAAAACTACAAAAATTTTAGCCAGGGGTGGTGATGCATGCCTGTAATCTCAGCTATTCAGGAAGCTGAGGTAGGAGAATTGCTTGAACCTGGGAGGCAGAAGTTGCAGTGAGCAGAGATTGTGCCATTGCACTTCAACCTGGGCAACAAGAGTGAAACTCCATCTCAAAAAAAAAAAAAAAAATAGAAGAAGAAGAACTGGCATCTTAATATTAAGTTTTCCATCTCTTGAGCACAGTATCTGTCTCCACATATTTAGATCTTCCTTAATTTCTCTCAACAATGTTCTATAGCTTTCAGTGCAGGAGGTAGAGGAGGAAGTGGTCTTATGAATCTTTTGTCAGATTAATTCTAAACTAGGTCATGTTTAAATACTACTAGTAAATGGCATAGCTTGTTATTTCCATTTTTTGATTGTTGTTCATGTACAGAAAGAAAATTAATTTTTGGATATTGACTTTGTGTCCTTCAGTCTCAAAGTCACTATTTTCCTGCAGAAGAATACGTTGTTGGAGATAACCCTAGAGGTGTAATGGTAGAGGCCAGAGGTCAGGAGAACTTGCCAACACTCCTCCAATGATTCCATAGAAAACTTCACACAACACTCTCTTGTGTGTGGTCAGGGGCAGGGGTTGGCCAAACACAGGAAAGGGGAAAATCCTAGGTGGTCAACTTGTAGTGCCCACATTAACACTGATCTGCATGGTTGACATGGTTTGGCTGTGTCCCCACCCAAATCTCATCTTGAATTGCAGCTCTCATAATTCCCATGATTTGTGGGAGGGACCCAGTGGATGATAACTGAATCATGGAGGCAGTTCCCCCATACTGTTCTCATGGTAGTCAATAAGTCTCATGAGATCTGATGGTTTTATAATAAGGGGTTTCCCCTTTCACTTGGCTCTCATTCTCTCTTGCCTGCCGCCCTGCAAGATGTGCATTTCACCTTCTGCCATGATTGTGAGGCCTCCCCAGCTGTGTGGAATATGAGTCCACTAAACCTCTTTTTCCTTATAAGTCACCCAGTCTCGGGAATGTCTTTATCAGCAGCGTGAAAACAGACTAATAGAACGGTTTGTTAGTTTTAAAAATCACTTACCTTGATTTGTCACTTAATTGAGAAGCCTGAATTTCAACAGGTGGTTCTTGTAACTCTGAAGAATGCTCATGCTCTGAAAGAACTTCTAATGACAAAAATTTAAAACAAGTTAAGCATCTCAAGTAAACATTTAAATACACCATGCAAGTCTTGACTGTGACCAATGAAGGTGTCTGACCTTGTTGTGTATCATCTGGTTTCATTTCTGCCACGTTTGTTTGCTGTGGAGAAGCAAATTATATTATGGTTTAATTGAAGCCTCTCTTTTGAAAGTCTTTCGGGTCCTCCAAGAAAAGCATATGCATTAAGTTCTAAGATAACAGACATCTCAGTCACTGATAAATGAATTTTTTCACTCCAAATGATGGTTGGCCATTCCAAAAAATTCATGTCCACCCTCACAAAAGAATTTGCTCCACTGAGAGAATCACAGACTGTCACAGGCAGCAGGGAAACACTAGATGAAGGCTCAAAACTGTCTTCAACGGCATCAGTACTGTCGGGATAAGTGCACAACGACCCAAGCAGACTAGCTTGAAAAGGATGACAACTTTTCTGGAGCAATAATCTCTGGTGTGTTTGCTTAAAAAAAACTGTGACACTCTATCACACTTCCACATAACATATTCATGTGATCAGATGTAAAAAAAAAAAAAATGTGGAATTGGCTGGGCACAGTGGTTCACACCTATAATCCAAGCACTTTGGGAAGCAAAGGCAGGTGGATCACTTGAGCCCAGGTGTTTGAGAGCAGCCCGGACAACATGGAGAAATCCTGTCTCTACAAAAACACAAAAATTAGCCAGGTGTGATGGTGCGCTCCTGTAGTCCTAGCTATTCTGGAGGCTGAAGCATGAGCATCGCTTGAACCTGGGAGGTGGAGGTTTACAGTGAGCCAAGATTGTGCCACTGAACTACATCCTGGGTGACAGAGCCAGCCTCATCTCAAAAAAATTTAAAAAAAAAATTTTAAATGAAGAAAATGAGGACTTGACTAAATGCCTACATGCCATGCAATGTATTAGCTACTCCACGTACATTCTTTTTCCCATCCCAAGAGGGCTACCCTGTGAACTCCTGATGCCTCCATTCATTCAGGTTCCTCAATGCTCGATGTTACTAATGTGCCCAAGTTCCTACAGCAAGTAAGTGAAAGCCAAGTCTCACCCCCAAACATTAGGCTCCTTCAGTCTCTAGATCCCAAATGAAGGAACGAGGTAGAGGCCAGAAATGTCATGTATTCCAAGGGAAAGCTGAGTTGAATGAAAGAGAATTCATGCCAGGTGATGTTGCTCACAGCTGTAATCTTAGCACTTTGGGAGGCCAAGGCGGGTGGATCACCTGAGGTCAGGAATTTGAGACCAGCCTGGCCAACATGGCGAAACCCCGTCTCTACTAAAAATACAAAAATTAGCCAGGCATGGTGGCAGGTGCCTATAATCCCAGCTACTCAGGAGGCTGAGGCAGGATAATTGCTTGAATCCAGAAGGCGGAGGTTCCAGTGAGCCAGTGTGGTGCCATTGTACTCCAGCCTGGGCATCAAGAGCAAAACCCCATCTCAAAAAAAAAAAAAAAGAAAAAAGAGAGGGAATACACAATTACTCAACCATGCAGCAAAAACAATCTCAGGGAGAGAATAGTCCAAAAATTGACAGACTGCTGATGGGTCATAGTGGCTCACATCTGTAATCCCAAAGATTTGGGAGGTCAAGATGAGAGAATCTCTTAAGGCCAGGAGTTTGAGACCAGCCTGAGCAATGGCGCGAGACTCCATCTCTATAAAAAATTTACAAATGAGCCAGGCATGGTGGCAGCACCTGTAGTCCTTGCTCCTCAAGAAGCTGAGGCGGAAGGATCACATGATCCTGGGAGGCTGAAGCTGCAGTGAGCTATGACAACAGAGCAAGGCCTTGTCTTAAACTTTTTTTTTTAATTGAAAAATGGCCAGGAGAAAATGGTCTATGAACCAGGAAAGGTGGCTTCCACCTGTCACTATCCTAGCAGAAACAGATAAGAACCTTGAGCCCCACTTCCTGTACTCACGGGTGGCTCAGATTGGACATTTAAGGGGAGAGTTATTAGGCAACGGTCATCTTCAGCACTCATGAACTCCACCACATTGGTGGATTCTTCTGCCTGCTCTGTACAAATTAAGAAAAAGACATTTAATATAACAACCGTGCACACACTGACACGCTCACCATGTTCTTCATGGGATGCACCCTCTGGTACCTCTCCATCCTTTGGTAAGAGCTGGTAATTTGTTCCTGCCTCAAAACTCCAATCAGAAATCTTTAAGCACAGGCCAGGTGCACTGGCTCACACCTGGAATCCCAGCACTTTGGGAGGCCAAGGCGGATGGATAACTTGAGGCCATGAGTTTGAGACCAGCCTGGCCAATGTGGCGAAACCCTGTTTGCACTAAAAATACCAAAAAATTAGCTGGGCATGGTGGCACGTGCCTATAGTCCAGCTACTCAGGAGGCTGAGGTAGGAGAATCTCTTGAACCTGGGAGGCAGAGGTTGCAATGAGCTGAGATTGCGCCATTGCACTCCAGCCTGGGTAACAAAGCAAGACTCAAAAAAAAAAAAAAAAAAGAAAAGAAAAAAGAAAAATCTATGGGCATTTGGGAAAACAGCCTTGGGGTGTAACTGAAAAGAGAAACATGCTCTAGTGCAGGGCCAGCTTTGTGGGTAGACAAAACCCTCCCTACCCCCATGTCTTGCCTCCCCCAAACCCCATCATTTATTCTCCTTTGTCATTTCCAGTTGACCCATAGAAAGACCTTATCAGGTATAGAAAACGATTCAAGGCTGTCAGCAGCTCTTCTTCCTCCAGAGGTACCATCAGACATGTGTCACTCTCGTATGACCACAGGTTTCCAGTGACCTCTTCCAACTAAGGTTTGTTTCATAGGAAATGCAGGGTCCGAATTTTGTTATTTCCCAATATACCTGTGTCTCTTTCATGGCCACTGAAACTCTCCATGTCTTCTTTATCAGACTTACTAAAAAGTTCTGAGGAGATTTTCATCTGACCAGGCAACATCTGAAATGCAAGACAAAAGTCAACTTTGAAATGTAGTCATCTTCAAAAAAAAAAAAAGTAAACAATGTTTTTAAGAAAAACCTAAAGCTCAGAACAAAACACACTGATAAATCAGAAGTTAGTCACTTTGTGAGGAGCAAGGACTACAGGTGCTGCCACCATGCCTGGCTCATTTGTAAATTTTTTATAGAGATGGAGTCTCGCGCCATTGCTCAGGCTGGTCTCAAACTCCTGGCCTTAAGAGATTCTCTCATCTTGACCTCCCAAATCTTTGGGATTACAGACGTGAGCCACTATGACCCATCAGCAGTCTGTCAATTTTTGGACTATTCTCTCCCTGAGATTGTTTTTGCTGCATGGTTGAGTAATTGTGTATTCCCTCTCTTTAAAAATTACCCAGTCTCGAGTATGTCTTTATTAGCAGCGTGAGAACAGACGAATGCACTGTCCCCAGGTCTGGGGGAGCTGAGAGAGAAGGAAATGCCAGTGTCCTCAAGACTCTAGGGAGAAGGTGAAAGAGGATGATAATATCCTAGAAAACCTTTCAGATGTTCACAATAAGTAGAATAAGGCATTTCAAGGAACAAAGAGCCTTTCTGTCCTGCCTCATCAAGACAATGGCCCATGAAAGGGAAAAATGGGATTCAAACCCAGAACTCTCAACTGTTTTTACATGGCATTCAAAAGACCAGGTTTTCTGCTTGATCAAATACCCACATCGAAACCCAACAAGAACATTTAATAGACATGAAACATACTAAAACATTTTAAAATAATCCAAAAGAATGAAACCTCCCACCTGTTTATCTTCTCCTAAAGCTTGAATGGAAGCTTGTGATATGTTGATCTGCAAATCAAAATGGATTTCTATCTTCATGACTTCTTTGTAGCTGATAAGGATAGGGTTCTTCAGGTAAATGATAAGCATCTTTATCTTCTCAGTTTCTAACAGAAAATATGGAATATCAATGGATATCAACATATTTCAATGTTTTATTTTAAAATTTTATAATTTTAAATAACTACACTGGGGTATTTGTCTAGATTTTTCTGTGGTAAGAGTTGAAAAGTAATCATATTAAGTAACATTACATTGAAATTGTTCTTTAGATTTACATGTGTATTTACACATATACACATACTATACGATTAAGTGGTTGATCTTGCAAACACTGGAAGTAACTTACCTTAGCAGCAAAGAAGTGAAGATAGTTTTGTCTTCTGCAATTCAGTTTTTTTAAGAGCATTTTGTTTATACAAAGCTATCATCTGCAACAGGTATTTTATTGCCAAATATGCTAAGAGTTTTGTCTTCTGCAATTCAGTTTTTTTAAGAGCATTTTGTTTATACAAAGCTATCATCTGCAACAGGTATTTTATTGCCAAATATGCTAAGCACAATATTCATTCTCTCTCTGAAATTCTACTTATTTTTAAAATTGAAAATGAAACTCACTGTCCCCAGTGTGCAAAATGGAATAATCTACCACCATTTCAATAGACTTTGCTTGAAGAAGAGACAGAAACACCTTAGAAAGAAGTCTGTGTCTCAGACAATAGCCTCCTTGCAGGCCCTTAGCAGGTCATCAGCCCTTTCCTGACAAATTGTAATCAGGCTTAGAAGAGAAAATAGCTTAGACAAAATTTACAAAGAGTCTAAGAATAAGCCACGTTAAGTACAAGGTAAGTTGGAAGAAGCAAAGGCAGCTAAGTCCAGGAAAGAACAGGCAAAGCTAATGGCCACAAATTAATGAGACGGGAAAGAAGAAAAAAAAAAAGAGTGAAACATACATGGGTCTAAATCTGTGAGGTCCAACTCATCAGAGGACTCAAAGCATGCCTAGTACCAACTGAGACGCTCTGTAAGCATAAAATACACATCCGATGACAAAGACTCAGTACACAAAAGGAGAATGTAAAATGTGTCATCAATAACTTTAAAACATTGATTATATGTTAAAACAATATTCTGGATATACTGGATTAACTATATTGCTAAAATTAATCTACTTTTTTCTTTCTAGAAAGTTTTAAATATCTGGCTCACATTATATTTCCATAGGACAGTGTTGGTCTAGAGTCAGCTCCCCAAAATATTAATCTTACTGGACATTTTACTCATCACTGCAGGGAAAGTCTATAAAACCCTGCAACAAAAGTAATATTAAATATCTTAAAAAGTAACAAGCTAATTTGGCTGCGGGGATCCATGCAAACAGAAAAGGGTCAGAAGAAACACTCTGAGGGCTACAGGCTACACTTCCAGCTCCTTAGACAGGAGGGCTATGATACAGAATAAAAGTCTTACTTAGAGTTTACTGGAAAATCATCCATTTCTTTGGCCATAAGAATGGAAACAGTGATACCTACTTCCTGTAGAATTTGTGCGACACTTTGTATGTTGAAAACCATGAGCCACAGAAATGTGCCATATTCATGAAGTTACAAAATATACTTTGGCAAGTTGATTCCTGAGAGCCATAACTGAGTATTCATGTTCTTAAAATAATAAATTATTTTTACTTTTTTCCTCACCCCCCCCACTTAGCTCTTTAGGAATGCAATTATGGAAAAAAAAAACATTAAAAAGTGGGCAAAGGACATAAACAGACACTTCTCAAAAGAAGACAGCCATGCAGCCAACATAAAAAAAAATGCTTACTATCACTGATCACCAGAGAAATGCAAATCAAAACCACAATGAGATACCATCTCACGCCAGTCAGAATCATTATTATTAAAAAGTCAAACAACAGATGTTTGCAAGATTGTGGATAGAAAGGAACACTTTTACACTGTTGGTGGGAGTGTAAATCAGTTCAACCATTGTGGAAGACAGTGTGATGATTCCTCAAAGACCTAGAGAAAGAAATACCATTTGACCCAGCAATCCCATTAGTGAGTATATACCCAAAGGGATATAAATCATTCTGTTATAAAGATACATGCACACATATGGTCATTGCAGCACTATTCACAATAGCAAAGACATGAATGAACCTAAATGCCCATCAGTGATAGAATGGATAAAGAAAATGTGGTACATAGACACAATAGAATACTATGCAGCCATAAAAAGGAACAAGATTATATCCTTTGCAGGGACATGGATGGAGTTGGAAGCCATTAACCTCAGCAAACATGGGAAAAGAAAACCAAACACCACAGGTTCTCACTTATAAGTGGAAGCTGAATGATGAGAACACATGGACACATGGTAAATAAAAACGTACACTGTGGGCTGGGTATGTTGGGGGAGAACACAGGGAAAAGTAATGGATGCTGGGCTTAATACCTAGGTGATGGGATGGTCTGTGTGGTAAACCATTATGGCACACATTTACCTATGTAACAAACCTGCACATCCTACACATGTACCCATAAACTTAAAAAAAAGTTGGAGGAAAAATATTCAATTATAACATTTATCTTCTTTCCATCAGGCACTCCCTGTGCTATAAGCTCATCTAACTATGTTTGCTTAGAAATTCTAAGGAGGCCAGCTGCAGTGGCTCATGCCTATAATCCCAGCACTTTGGGAGGCCAAGGCGAGTGGATCACTTGAGGTCAGGAGTTCGAGACTAGCCTGGCCAACATGGCGAAACCCCATCTCTACTAAAATACAAAAATTAGCCAGGTGTGATGGTATGTGCCTGTAATCCCAGCTACTCGGGAGGCTAAGGCAGGAGAATTGCTTGAACCTGGGAGACAGAAGTTGCAATGAGCTGAGATCGTGCCATTGCACTCCAGCCTGGGCAACAGAGTAAGACTCTGTCTCAAAACAAAACAAAAAGGAGGGCCAGGGGTGGTGGCTCACGCCTGTAATCCCAGCACTTTGGGAGGCCAAGGCGGGTGGATCACGAGGTCAAGAGATTGAGACCATCCTGGTCAACACAGTGAAACCCTGTCTCTACCAAAAATATAAAAAAAATTAGCTGGGCATGGTGGCGCGTGCCTGTAATCCCAGCTACTCAGGAGGCTGAGGCAGGAGAATTGCCTGAACCCAGGAGGCGGAGGTTGCAGTGAGCCAAGATTGCGCCATTGCACTCCAGCCTGGGTAACGAGCAAAACTCCGTCTCAAAAAAAAAAAAAAAAAAAAAAAAGGAATTCTAAGGACCAAATCTGGACCAAACCAGGCACCCCCTGAGATTCTCCCCACCAGGAGAGACAACAGTTAATGTACAACCTAGTTCTGCCCATGATGGCCCCAGTCAGACCACCTGACGGATAAGACATCAAACCAAGTCATGGAGCCCCCACACTTCCTCACTCTCTCCCCTACATGCCATTCATGCTAAGTCCCCCTTATAAGCCCTGGCTTTCTTGCTCATCCACTGCCTGGAAACAGACTTAGTGCTGTTGGGAGTAGGGGGCACAGTGGGAGTGAGACCCCCGCCTCTTGTATTGCATGGGAGCTGGGTGAGGCCTGTGACTGCCGGCTTTCCCCCACTTCCCTGACAATCTGCATAACTCAGCAGGGACAGCCATAATCCTCCTAGGAACAGAACTCCATTGACCTGGGAACCTCACCCCTATCCCTAACAGCAGCTGCAGGAAGACCCACCCAAGGAGAGTCTGAGTTCAGACACACCTAATCCCGCCCACACCCAGTGGTCCTTCCCTACTCATCCTGGTAACTGAAAACTAAGGGCATATACTCTTGGGAGTTCTAGGGCCCCACCCACCCCTGTTCCTCCCCATGTACCACAGCTGACGCTCTCTGGAAAGCGCCACCTCCCAGCAGAAGGCCAACCAGAACAAATATAGTGCATTAAGCCACCAAAGCTAAAAACCATCACAGAGTCTGTTTCACCCACCTGCCACGTCCATCAGAACAGGTACTGATATCCATGGCTGAGAGACCCAGAGACAGTTCACATTACAGAACTCTGTGCAGACAACCCCCAGTTGCCTGGAGCCTGGTAGACTTGCTGGGTGGCTAGACCCAGAAAAGAGATAACAATCACTATGGCTTGGCTGTCAGGAAGCCACATTTATAGGAAAAGGGGGAGAGTAGTACATCAAGGGCACACCCCACGGGACAAAAGAATCTGAACAACACCCTTCAGCCCTAGACCTTCCCTCTGACACAGCCTACCCAAATGAGAAGGAACCAGGAAACCAATTCCAGTAATATGGCAAAACAAGTTTCTTTAACACCCCCCAAAAATCACACTAGCTCACCAGCAACAGATCCAAACCAAGAAGAAATCCTGATTTACCTGAAAAAGAATTCAGGAGGTTAGTTATTAAGCTAATCAAGGAGGCATCAGAGAAAGGTGAAGCCCAATGTAAGGAAATCAAAAACATGATACAAGAAGTGAAGGGAGAACTATTCAATGAAATAGCATAAATAAAAAACAATCAAAACTTCAGAAAACAATGGAAAACTTACAGAAATGCAAAACGCTCCGGAAAGTCTAATAGAACCGAACAAGAAGGAAAAAATGTTGGCCAGGCACAGTGGCTCACGCCTGTAATCCCAGTACTTTGGGAGGCCAAGGTGGGCAGATCGTAAGGTCATGAGACCATCCTGGCCAACATGGTGAAACCCCATTTCTACTAAAAATACAAAAATTATCTGGGTGTGGTGGTGCATACCTGTAATCCCATCTACTTGGGAGGCTGAGTTACAAGAATTGCTTGAACCCAGGAGGCAGAGGCTGCAGTGAGCTGAGATCACACCATTCCACTCCACCCTTGCAAGAGAGCAAGACTCTGTCTCAACAACAACAACAACAACAACAACAGAACTTGGAGCCGGGCGTGGTGGCTCAAGCCTGTAATCCCAGCACTTTGGGAGGCCAAGGTGGGTGGATCACGAGGTCAAGACATTGAAACCATCCTGGTCAACATGGTGAAACCCCGTCTCTACTAAAAGTACAGAAAATTAGCTGGGCATGGCGGCACGTGCCTGTAATCCCAGCTACTCAGGAGGCTGAGGC